CTACCCAAGTGATCCACTGTTAATTGTGGTACTGAAAATCATCACGTGGTGAAGGCTGCAATAGCATAAAATTATGTTTAGGTCAAGTTTGGGAGGAAAGTAAATGATCATACCTTTCTGGAGAACACATTAAAGGCTTTATTCTGTACCTCTTACTGGGGGAAAACTGCATTTATATTACAAGTTACTCCACACAGACAGATGACACCTCCACTGACTGCAATAGCTACTTGCTGCCTCAAGCCAGATGGGAGATGGCCTTCACTGCCTTTGAAAGGCCAACACTATTTACTCCGCATAAAATAAATACAAAAATCTTAAATATAACACGAAGTACACTGAGAAAAAACCCTCCTTGTTCCTCACATGTGGGAGGATTCCCAAGGGTACAAAGACAATGGTACACAAGTTATAGAGGAAAATACAGCTGCTACTCCCTGCTCTGCAGTCAGCATTTCCAGCCTCCCACACACAACACAGACTGAGGGAAACCATAGGCAGGGTGGAACAGAGTGGAAACACCATGGCCACGCTCTGTGCAAAACCCTTGCAGAGGGAATTCAGTGGTACTTTCTAGCTGATAAGCCACATAGCAGCTGAAAACCAAGAGAGCTGAAGGAAAATGTCCTGCTGCTGACTCAGCATCCATGGGGAAATCCCTCTCCTTGGACTGATGTGCCCATCCCAAGGTTATCTCAGGTACTACACTGAGATATCCACCCCCAAGGGACGGCCACCCCTCCCTGAGTAAGATATATGACTGGAGTCACTCAAGCTCCATCTAAATGTAAAGAGATAATATAAAAGCGAGTTGAGAATGGGGAGAAGCTGTGGGGAACATTCCAGCTTCTCTTGTGGGACCAGTCATCAGGCTGAAACTCTCTTTTCCCCCGCAGGGACAGTACTCTGCGAGTGCTGAGTCATTATCTCGAGCAGCTTTTATTGGGGGTTAGAGATTGGTAGTATATTGCCTTGAATGTATTTCTGCAGTCAGATACTGTCACCATCGATCACCCAACCTTAACCTGTCACAGTTTTATCAATCAAGAGTGTTACTCTGTCACTGGGAGCCCTCCCAGGGCTGGCAGTGGGTAAAGCTGTGCAGACCCAAGAGGGTTTCTCTGTTCGGGTGTTATCCTGACCAACCAGTGGAACCCTCCATCCCAGTGACCTGCTCAGTGCAGGGTCCCAGAACAGGATGGGACAGGCAGCCTGGGCAAGAGGGGTTCTGCTTTCCTGGGGCACTGACAGACCAATCAAACCACACACTGAGGGGGTGAGGAAATCTCCCCTTTTCACGTGACACTCGTCCCAGCTGAGACACCTTGGAGAACAATTTACCTGCCCCTTTTTTGCTTTATTAGTCTCACTGGAAAAAAAGTACTGAAATAACCACAACATGACTTCAGATATTCCCAGACATAGCAGAGATGTGGAAAAGCCTTTAAGGCATGTTTCACACATCTGTGACTTTTTGGAGACAGAAAACCAAACGGTAACAGAATCCTCCTGACACACACTATTCCTGTAAACTTCAGTTCACCTTGGTCTGCAAAGACCTTAGTCTCAAATTCCACACACACTCCACGTTTCACTTTGTTCCTACAGCAGAAGTAAATTTTAGATGGGAGGGGAAAAAGACACCAGAGGTTGCACACACCTTGTTTGTTGTTTCAGCAGGTCAAACACTCAACATGCCATGCTGTTCAGTAGCAGTTCTACTTCTAATCACTTGGAAGTTTCCTTAGAAGACCTCGCATCACTAGGATTCCCTATTTCCCACCACTTCCTTGTTGTATCATTACAGAAGGAAACTGCAGGTCCCAGACTACTGAAATACCCACTTATTACAGGGTAACACGTTGCTTCTTAACTTACATCAAAATACATCTGACACAAAAATGTGTCACACAAGAGCAAGCTATAGGCACATAAAATATGCAAAGGAAGAAACTAAAAGGCAATTTTCTTCCCAAGACAAACTTACACTTGGAGAAAACAAAGGTTTTCATGCTAAAAACACACTAGGGACTAAAATGACTTCTGAACAGGTAAAAACTGGGCCGGACAGTAAGAGAAAATTGCTTTACACTGTAATGTGCATGACTCCTCCTCCTGGTGGGGAAGTGGTGTCAGGCAGCAAGAGAAATACCTCACCTTGAAGAGCTGAAGGAAACATGAAACCATCTTTACATACTTAAACTTCATTTCCTGGAAAGCTGAAGCTCTAAGGCCTACAGGAAATCTGGCACTTGCCTGACTCAGGATTCATGGTCATTGTGGCAATTCAGAAGGCAAAGGAGTGCAGGAATAGCTGTCCCTGGCCCTAGTCACCGCTTTCACATGATGCAAGCATCCATCACTTTACCAATTTGACACCAATTGTATGATGCTTGATAAGTTTAGCTGTTAGCAAGCCATTCAAAGTCAGTAACCTCGCGTTTCTCAAAACAGATCAAGCAGCTGACACCTTAATGTGCCACAAACATCCTCTTCTTTCTGCAGTTTAACAACCCAGCACACTTACAAAACCCTCAGAAAACAAAAAGAGCAAGATGCACAGTGGTCTCCAAGCATAAAGGCTCACACTTCATAGCTGCATTTCTAGGGGCTTATCTTGGGTGACCTGGGAAGTGTTCCAGGCCAGGCTGGATGGGGCTTGGAACAGCCTGGTCTAGTGGCAGGTGTCCCTGCCCATGGCAGGGGGTGGGATGGGATGAGCTTTAAGGCCCTCCCAACCCAAATCACTCTGTGATTCTATGAAAAAGAACTAAAACACTAACAAACCACCACTACAGATGTTTACTAAGGACAGTTTATATGGGTTAAATTTCCTTTACTACTGACTTGATTAGAAATCTTGATCTTATCCCTTACAAAGCAAATTAGAGCTCTTAATTATTCCAGGTTTTTTCCTGTTAATGAAATGCAATGGTGCCATTAGCGAGGCATGTCAGTTACACTTATGTGCAAAGAAATGATTTGACACTGCTTTTGTCATCTAATCCTTTCAGGAAAAACAGCTGGAACATCACTCAAGCATCTTAAGTAAAAATCCTTGAAGACAAAGAGGACAGATGGTAACAATCCCAAGGAATACCACCTAAAACAGTCATGGTTTAGAAAGGGAAGACAGTTAATCCTGTAAACAATCAATATGTGAGTCTTGCTAGAAAAAAAATAACCCTAAATATTTTCTGTTCAATATTTTCTGTTCATGAAATAAGAGATTTGTCAGGATAGAGATCTTCGCTGAAGACTTTATTGTATTGAGTCAATCTACACCCTGCATAACCATGTCATCTGCTCCAGGTGACCCTGTCTTGGCAGGAGTTTGGACCAGATCATCTCCAGAGGTCCCTTCCAACCCTGTGATTCCTCTCTCCCAGCACCCAGAAGCAGCAGGCAGAAATGTGATCCTCAGGCAGTTTTGTGGCAAGGCTCAATTCTGTTTATCAGTCCTAGCTATGAAGCAGCAAAAGCATTTAAGGCAAACCTGACACATGGAAGCCCTCACTGTTACTGCAATTCCACACAAAAAAGCTTTGTCCATCCCTCCCTTTCTCTCTCCTCCCATTTTAACTATCATTCCAGACTGTTAAAATGTCAACTACTAAGCTTAACAACTTCCTTTGGTACGAGTTAATCAGAAACAAATGTTATCAGAGATGCATGAAGCTACAAACTACTGCTGAAAAGACAACTACAGCAAGAGACAAAAACAGTGAGATGTACTAAAGACTTGAAATCAAAAGCAAACAACTCAAAATGATACACAAAACAAGGAGGAAACAGTCTAGTACAGAAACCACCATCCGCCTCTTCAAAACAAGAGCTGCCATGAAGACAATGTATAGTTACCTGCATCCATATCTGCAAAGAATGGAACAGCCAGTAAGGAAAAGAAGGAACCAGAAATTCAGTGTCTCAAAGTTGGATTTAAAAGTTCATAAGGAGAACAGATAAAGAAAAATCATAAAAAAAGTATTTAGTGTAAGACAGATCTCAGTAAGATACTGTGGTATTTTTGATTTCAAGCTACAAACTTGGATTAACGTTAAACACTACAACATACAAATTAATTTTCTATGCCATAAAAACATTAAAAAGAGGTCAAGACCAAGTATTTAACCAACAAACAATGATCAAGTGACACCTTTAGTTTAGGCTGGTGAAGCTGGTTTATTCTCCCAACATCCCAAATCTGCAGAAGTCCCCTACCACAGACAGTAGTTGTAGCTCTCCACAGCCCAAGTGAAAGCAGCAGCAATAGCAAGAGCAGTGAGCTTCTCTCCTTTGGGACTAGAAGTTTCCAACATGGACACAGACTGGGGGCCAAAGTAGTTAAGGATGCTAAGCAGTTACAGAAAAGCTACAGTTATACTCAATGTAAATACTTAGCTCAGTCTGGAGAATGTTAAAGGAAAAATCACCATGCATATTGAAAAAGAAAATTGGACTCTTTGCTAATTCGTTTCTGCATGATTAAAAAATGAATAAAGATGCAGTTTGTGGGGAAAAAATACTAGTGAAATTTGCACATGCACATACCTTCAGGCGATTCCTCCTGGACATAGGTCCCGGTCAAGTACCGGTGTACAAGGGCAGACTTGCCACTCGCCAAGTTACCCACAATCCCCTGCAAGGAGAAAAGCAAGGAATAAAAATTCAACTGCAATTAACCCCTGTAAAAACCAGTATATTAAGCAGAACCTAAATGCAGGAATGGTCCACAATATGCCAAGAGACAGAGAGCAAAACTGACATAGCAACCGGGCTCTGGCAGCAGCACTCCTGCATTCAGCTGCCCACTGATGCCAAGCAGGAACACCAGGCAAACTCCAGGGAAGGGGCCTGAGGCTCAGAACAAGCCTGTCACCTCTCTGCTGAGAAACAAACACCTTACTGAACTTTAGTACTGGAAAACACCTCCGCAGGCTACGCACCACACGCATCACACGACTCGTCGCTGAAGCACACACAACATGTATATGGGACAGACACATCTTGGCACATCTACCATCAGGCAATGGCATGGCAGGTTAAACCTCATCTTGTTCCACCCTCTGCCATGGGCAGGAACACCTTCCACCAGCCCAGGTTACTCCAAGCCCCTTCCAGCCTGGCCTGGCACACTCCCAGGGATGGGTCAGGCACAGCTTCTCCGGGCAACCTGTCTGCACATCTGCCTCTCATGCTGACTGCTTCCTTAGCAAAGGGGTTCCATCCCTTGGAGCATCTCTGTGATTGCCTCTGGACCAACTCCAGCAGCTCCACATACTTCTGATGCTGGAGACTCCAGAGCTGGAGGCAGCACTGCAGGAGGGATCTCACTTGAGTGGAGCAGAGGTGCAGAATCTCACCTGCTGCCCACACTGCAGGGGATCAGAGCAGCACAGAGGGCTTCTGGGCTGCCAGTGCATGTTGCGAGGTCCTACCAAGGATTTTTTTATAAGAAGGATAGTTTCTTACAAATTAGGCTTAAGAAACTGGAGTAGAGAATGTGCACTAATGTTTAATTTGTTCATGCTGCCTCAGTCAATTTGGCAATCTCTGGCAGAGCAGCAGAGTTCATCTTGTCTCCAGGGATCTTATGTTCTGAACCTTTGGTGAAGGTCAAGTAAACATGCAAGGACAGAGCAGGCTTGCTTCCTTTCAAAAAGAAACAAGCTCCCACCTCCTCCCGCAGAAACTGAGCAAGCAGCATCCTCGGCACTCTGTCCCCTTTTAAAGCAACAGAACTGGCAATTCTCCAGGTCTTGTGGCATTTGAGCACCTCTGGGAAAACTGTTCTGGTGTTGGGCTGCATTCTATTACATCTGCCTGGTTTTTAAAAGCAAATGCCAGGTAACCAGCTTAACACTAAACTCACCTATGCTTTGGGATCGAGTGCTGCTGGTTGGCTCTCAGGTGTTCCCAGTGCAGGCATCTGGGCATGGATGGTTTGAGTTGTAAAGGAAGGGGCTTTAACATGCCAGAGTGGAGACCTCAGAGTCCCTTCCAGTGCCTAAAGGGCCTCTAAGAGAGCTGGAGATGGACTTGGGACAATGGATGGAGGAACAGGACAAGGGGGAATGGCTTCTCACTGCCAGAGGACAGGGTTAGATAGGACACTGGGAAAAAGTTCTTCCCTGTGAGGCTGTTGAGGCACTAGCACAGGTTGCCCAGAGAAGCTGTGGCTGCTCCATCCCTGGGAGGATTCAAGGCCAGGTTGGATAGAGCTTTGAGCAACCTGGCCACAGCAGGGGCTGGACCAAGATGAGCTTTAAGGTCTGTTGCAATCCAAAGCAGTTTGGGATTCTACAAAAAGGTACAAATGAGGTAACTATGACTTCTGCATTTTGCCAGCATGGGAGAGACAACAGCTGCAGGCAGCATGGGCACAGGAGTGGTAGAATGGTTTAGTTTCCTGCACCTTCTGGCTCAAGATCTTTCACCTTGAGCACAAGCTATCAGAAGAGACAAACTGCTCTCTCTCCAGCACTCGTATTATCAATACTTTTCAGTAACACATGCACCAACAAGACCTAAACAAAAATTAATACAGAAATGAGCTCCATATATAGATATTGATAACAGTAGCATTTTTTAAATATTAACTTTTTTTTTTTAACACTGATCCCCAACTCCCCCAATCAGTGTATAGGGAATCAGGGGGACAAAACCAGCTTGGGACTTCCACCTGCACATACAAAGAACAAAAACTAAAGCAACACTGCAGACATCCAAACCCTGAATTTCCACTCTGACTTCACCACAACTTAACTTCAGCTTAGTCCAATGTTCAGCCAGACACCAAGGCAGGGGGAAGTTACAGACAGAAAAGTCACATCTCTAACATGTCCTCTAACCCCAAAACATCGAGTAACCTCATAAATGAATGATTTTTCCCTCCATTACATGCCCACGAGCCGCAGTAAGTTTGTCTACACACACATGTTCAAACAACCCTCCAGATTTCTAAGACCAAGAAGGCATAATACCTGAGGAAACCCTGTGAGTAACAGCTTGCTTGGCCTTTGTACCTCTCCTCAGCACAGAACTGACACCATCCCTGAAGGTCTTCAAGCTGAGACGGGATGTGGCACTTAGTGCCATGGTCTAGTAACCACGGTAGGGTTGGACTCTATCCTTGAGGTCTCTTCCAACCCGGTTGAGCCTATGATTCCACAACACCACCTCCCTTTCTCCATGCAAAGCCTCCCAATGAGAGATTATTTCCCAGCTTCTTCCCTTTGCCTAGAACAATGCTCTAGAATTCACCACCACTCAAAAAAAATAAGATTTGGTGTGTGAAAGCTTAATTGTGTTTTTAGTTGTTAAAATGGTTTAAACATTTTTTAAATATTTTTTAGTCCGGTGAAGACAAAGTTTGCTGGATTTTTCCAGATTTCTAATCTTTTTAAGAGACTAGTTAATCTTTGGCCATAGCTGGGACATCTTATTCTACCAAGAGATGCCAAACATTTGAAACACACATGAGAATACAATTTTTTGACACTTTTAAGTATCCCAAAGGCCCTATCAGAACACAATTTTACAGCACATCAGGTTCCATGACATATTGCTCCTTAGAGGGACCCAAAAAGCCAATGGTGTCTGGCCACAGGAACATTTGTGTATTGTAACGCCAGAAACAGATGCAGCAAGCACTGATCAGGAGGAGTAAGATGTGTATTTCAGTCAGGAAACTAATTCACTAATTCACAAAGACACACAGAATGCGAGGAAGGTTTGGGTTGGAAGGACCTCAAAGATCATCTTGTTCCCCTGCCTGCCATAGGCAGGGACACATTACACTAGACCAGGCTACAAATGCAACTATGAAATCTACACTTATGTCACAGCTTGATTTTTTTCCCTAGCCAACTCCTTCAGAAAGGGTTCAAGAGACATCTGCCTTCTGCACACCTGGGAAAAGAGGATTCCCTGAGATCTCCCCTCAGAGCCTGCACTGAGGAGACAAGACACCCTCCCCTCCTTGACCAGGGATGAGACCAGCACATGACATTAAAACCTACAGCCAAGTGGTCCTTCTGTCGTTCTGTGCAGGGCTTGGCATTGCTGCTCCAACTCTCCTGAGCTACTGCTCCTAAAAACTAGGAGCAATATTTTACTCTGAAAAAAATCTGACTTATAATAGTTTCTCTCTTCATTGTGATTACTTGTTTTAAGGCTGATCCCCACCAGTATGATAAATACGCCAACATGTTTTCACAGCAATCATATTCCTCTCTCTCATATCTTATAGACAAACAATCTGAGGCACATCTATTTATTTACAGATACAGCTGAAACGTGTGAAGTTATGACAAGCATGTTGAACCCAGTTCAAAAGGGAGAAAATTCAGCTACAATGTAATGCTCTTGTCAGTTACGACTTGTGCAACACTGAATCACTGATTCGCATGTGCCAGACACACTGTAAAAATCCCAAACCACTGTGCCCACATTCTACAAAAGCCTGCAGGGAAAAGTGTTTACACATGCCAATGGCACTTGGCATTTTAAAGCTGCCCTGACTGTACTTGGCATATTTTCTGGAGGAATTTAAGTGATTTTATCCAAAAAGATCTCATATTTATTCTGCTCGAGACATCTTTATTTTACACTTTGATAAATGGGATTCAGTTGTCCCAAAGGTACTGGTCCTACCACACTCTTGACTGTAATAGGAGCATCAATGACCATAAGTGAAACTCTGTGGAAGTATTTGATCAGCAGAAAACAATTATAGAATCACAGACTCGTTTGGGTTGGAAGGGAACTTATATCTCATCTTGTTCCACCCTCTGCCATGGGCAGGGACACCTTCCTCTAGCCCAGGCTGCTCCAAGCCCCATCCAACCTGGCCTTGATTATCTTTCTAACCATGGGAAAGAAACCAATTTCCATGTGTATTGCTAAAACAGGAGACAGAGGCAAAGACTAGTGTTCTTTCCTCAAAGGCATACTGAAAAACACATCCTTCCTTTATTGCAGCCCTGGCTGCCTTCTCTACTTTCCCAGAGACAGGACAACATCTCCCAGGGCACTACTAAGCATCTTTCCTCAATGAGCAGAGCCTGCTCAAGCAGCTGTAGCTGGGCCCCTTCACAACCCTCATCCCCTCAATCTGCATCACTGGGGAAGCGGGTGTGGGATTTAACATGGCTCTTGCTTTCCTTGGCCACAAGCAAGCTCCAAGGCTGAGGCTGAAAGCAGGGAGATGAGGCTGGAAGTAAGGGAATGACACAGAGATGACTCACAGCTCCAACTCCTCCCCAAGGGCAGATGCACAGGAAAGGCAGAGATTTCAGCTAGGGTTCCTGATCTGCCCTTCCTGCTGGAGCACAATTTCACAGGCACAGCTGGTGCTGATGGCTTCCATAATTTGCAGTGCTATAATCAAATTACTATTTTGTAATGGTGAGTGCTCTGCTTTTCCCCAGGATTACACAGACCTAAGCCTTGGACAGCCATGGGGAGGCTCCTGCATGCTGAGCACCACAGATCGATTCCCTGCAGCAGCCACACAGCTGCAGTCTGTTTTCCTACCGCTGGCTCAGACAGCACAGGGGCAAGAGACGCAAGCAGTGGCATGATGCAGCCAGGCTGTCACAAGGGAAATCTGTGCCCTGAGAGCATCACCTAATGCTTGGTAATCATTTGTGTTCCATACCACAACATGTAGTAACTGAAGCTTTGGTCTCACCTGCAAGCCTCAAGTTTCTTGGTGGGTGCTGTGAGTTGGTAGGGCTCAGAGAAGGGGAAAGGATGTTTAAGGAAACCCTTTGCAGATTCTCCCCAGAATAAGCCAGCTAACACCACAGTGTTGGACTCTTACACAACCAACACCTTTCAGTCCTAAATTCTTAGTGGTTTAATTCTCAGTATTTAGGGAGGTATTTGTCTTCAAAATTACACATCAGTTCAACTGAAGCTGGTGACCCCCTGCAGGCCTTTCCTTTTCCTTCCACTGACTCTGTGCAGTGCTAAAATCAAAACAAAACCACAACTTCAGTTGTGAGGATGCTGCTTCCATTAAAATGCCACTCTCTAAATGCATTTATCATTTTAAGAGTGGCCTGTGCTTTCTCTTAGCTCTCCAAACACTCTCACTCAAATTTGGAAAAAGGTGTTTGCCATGTGAGAAAGGGAGGGTGAAGCATGGCCCCTCTGAAATTCAGATGGTTTTGCCCAGCTCACTCTGCCACTCAGCAGAGGGAGCTCAGATTGGAGAAATAAAAATGTAGGGCTTGATTCATTAAATGAACCTTAGATATATTTCTTATTTTTTAATTTGTTATTGACTCAGTTAAACTCTTTTAAGGGAGGGGGGAAAAAGATGTTTGGTCCTTGAAGAAATCATGTAAAATTATTATGGCGAGATAAAAGGAGTTTTATATATCATCTGCAGAGTTCCACTTCCCCCTTGAAGACATGTAAGGTTCCCCTACCCTCAAGATCCCTCTTGGAAGTGGTTCCTGGCGCCACACAGGTTGAAATAGCAATAAGATACAGAAAGATCTTTATAGCATGATTATAAAAATCAAAGATACATAATCTCCATAAAAATAATCCCATCCCTGGAAGTGCTCAAGGCCAGGCTGGATGGGGCTTGGAGCAACCTGGGCTGGTGGAAGGTGTCTCTGCCCATGGCAGGGGGTGGAATGAGATGAGCTCTGATGTCCCTTCCAACCCGCATCACTCTGTGAGTATATGACAGTTGTGCAAAATAAAAATGCTTTACTTACTACAACTGCTATCTGTATTTTTTCCCAACAGCACATTTAATGAAGCATAGAATGATTCACACTTGTGTATAACATTTTCAGCATGTTTTCCAGGACAGAAATAAATATAAACTCACCACTTTCAGCTCTGGTACAGATCGGCTCAGTGTCCATTCCTGGCTATTTACAAAGGCATCTGTGAAAGAGGAAAGCATGCACAAAATCAGTATAATGGCATTTAATGCTCTGCTGCACACAATTTCATGCTAAGGCTTTGGTACGTGAGACCAAAAGTCATGCTCAGGCTTACAAGCCTCAGAGTCCAACATGACAAACACTTGGGGCTTGGATAAATTGCATTAAAAAATCCAGAATACCAGAAATGCCCATTCTGCATGGAGCTGCTCTCAGTAGCAAGCATACTTGTACCATCTGCCCTGGCGTTAGCAAGCTCAAACTAACTCCAGGCTTTCAGGGTTGTGCAAAGACTCTTCCAGTCTGTACATGGTTAAATCATTCTCCATCCACCACAACACATTCCTTTTCTCCAGGAAAAGCCTTGGACTCATTGTCACACTCAGTGTCAATGACTGTGGCTGCCACCATCAGCAGAACTTCTCCACCCAGGTAAATGAGAACGTTTGCTGGTTCTAAAGCATGTTATCTTCTACTGCACATCACACTTCATGCCAAGAGCTGCAGCCACTTGAGTCAGTGGGAACATCCCTGCCCAGGCAGGGGAAATCATCCTTTTATTCATAAAACACACTGGTTTTCAGTAACACAATCCAGACAGAAATAAACCAGGGAGCCATTTACCATAAAATCAAATAAAAACTACTGGAGGCAGTGGTCAATTTCTTGAAGAATGGTGAGTTAAGTTTGTCACTGATCCCAACAGCAATGAAGGTCTTAGGGCTGCACCTGGTCCAACCTCGCTGACAATTCCACACCACAGAAGAACAGGAATAAGGCTTTATTTTTGCAGCTCAAAAAACTTGTATCATTTTGTTCCTTTTGCAAAGGTCTAGTGAACTGAAAGCAAACAGACAGCGATGTCTCTGTTACCAATCTAATCTGAATCCTGACGTAACTGCTCCTGGCACCACGCACACCAGCTGAGTGTGTGTCACACACTCAGGATGCTTCAAGCAGGTCAGCTCCAACTCTGCAGTAGTTAAACAGCACTGAAGCAGTCCTGGTGTTCCAATCAATTCCTAATGATGCAGAAAATAGCAGGTGGAAAGTTACACCTGGCCACGTTGTCCATAAGCCAGCAAAGGTCCTGCTTCCCCTCCAACACACCTATCAGCAGGAGAAGGCTGTTTCATTTGATCCTTTGATCCAGAGAATAAAGGAACTGGAGGCAATTTCCCATTCCAGATGCTACCCTCGCCAATTTATGAAAACATCCAAGCTTTCCCAGTGCCCAGGGAAAAATAATCTCAAAGCAAACTTGTATTTTCCAGTGTCTCTCTATTACATATATTACTTTTGATCAATGTTACAGAGAGACCTACTAGCCATGAATTTGGAAGCCTTCTCCAGTTTTATCCAACAAATGGCTTTGCATGTCAGCTAGGAAGAGAAGCTTGTGTGTACTAGCAGGATGTGTGTATTTATATGAAAACACACAGAAACTACTCAGTATTTTGGGGTACTGCAGATTTGAGCTGCCTCCCACTCACTCACTGGCAGAAGGAAAACCAAAGCCTCAGATTAAAGTACTCTGAAGTCTTGGGTTAACCTTCAGCATTCCAGGTGCAAGATAAGACACTGCAGTCATTCAGCTCCTGCTGCATGACCTGAAGAAGTCCCACTCCATCAAAACCCGGAGCCACATGCAGATCTTTCTGTAGCATGCCCAGGTGAAAAGAACTTAAGATGGAGACAAAGCAAGCAGCAGTTTCCATGTGGGAACACTGCATTTGAGAGCTGCTCTAGGAGCCTTATAATTAAGGCACTCAAAAGAGATCACAGCTTGATCTAGATATTTTCCTACCTTCCCAGGGGAAGGAGTATTTTCACTCACAATGTGCAATGGAATGGGGATGTTTAGGTTGGATACTAGGAAAAATTTCTTCACTGTCCTGACAGGAAACTAAACATATGCCAAAATATATCTGAGTTTGACCTCAACCTAACTAATTAAATCTACATTTTCCCACTACTATTATCTTCCATTTGCAATTACATTACAGAAGCTCCTCCAGTGTCCTTGAAAAAACAAACCCAACCAACTTTTATTTGGAGATCCATGAGATCCCTCCCCAGCATCCTCCACACTAGCATGTTTACAAGGAATAACAACAGTTAAGCACAGAACATGGCATGAAACAGCATTTGGTCTGTTTAGCAATGCAAGGTTTGTGTCCATCCCTTGGATGGACAGTGAAGCACCCACTAACCCATTCAGTCCTCACAGGAATTCCTCAAGAAGGAATGATTTATTCTAGTCAATCCCAAGACCCGTGGAACTTAGGGTGAATAGGTCAAATACTTGCAGACAGAACATCACAAACAAAATTGTGGATTTGCATTTTCTTCCTAAATAAAGCTAACTAACTTACAGCCCTGGCATGACTGATACGCTGGATCCACCATGCTAGAACATGCGAAGCTCAAACTGTAAAGCCCACAAAAATCCTCTGCTGCAGCAGTGAACCCCTCACTGCCACATGTCAATTTAAACATGTTGGAAGAGATTTGCATAATAAATGGAACCACATGGATGAAGTTGATCAACTGGGGTCTTGTTTGCATTACTTTCTGACTCTGGAATTCAAGTGAACACAACCTACATGTCTCACCACAGACTGTGCAGAAAAGGAATGACTTTTGTCAATAATTAATCACAGTTGTATGGGCTGTCCCTTTAACTTCTGCATCAGTGATCAAAAGCTGCAGATATACACGGTGTCACTCCTGGATTGTTAGAATGTGCACCAAGGAGACCATTTAAGTTGCATTTTCTTTGCCAAGTTTACTTTTCCCCAATATAGTCTTCATTTTTTTTCATATTTCTTTTTTCCTTTTTATTTTTTATTTCCACCACTAGATTTAGAATCCTTCAGTTCCACTTACACATCACTACATTGAAGCTCAAACTCCAACAGGATCCTCAGCTATTTTAAAACCTCAGTTTATTAACTCAGCTCCACCTAGAGGAACCTTCTGTCTTCACCCCAGTATTAAGAATGAGATGTAGACTTTATTTTGGTTCCGCACGACTCATAGACTGCTTTGGGTCAAAAGGGACCTTAAGCCTCATCCTGTTCCACCCCCTGCCATGGGCATGGACACCTCCCACTAGCTCAGGTTGCTCCAAGCCCCATCCAACCTGGTCTGGAACACTTCAAGGGATAAGACAACACGTGGTGGTGAAATCTTGGAGTCTGATAGCCATTCTTGTCAAGGTCTATGCACTCCATGGCATGGGACAGCAGCAGACTTCCAAGAAGGTCTAACTGTTTGAATTCAGCGTATAAAAGCCCTACTTGGAATTTTCAAATGGAAAAATATACTTCTTTGAACACAGGAACTATCAACTACAAACTAGACGCGTATTAGCAAAACCATGTTCAGGAGAGGCAACAGGACCCAGGGCAATCCAACGGTCCATGATTTGGAAGAGGGAAGAAGTCACATATAAAACCTGGAGAAGTTTCATAGCCATTATAGCAATAACCTCAGCAAGCACCTGTCTCAGTGATGTATCCAGCAGTCTGTTTCATACCACCCTTTATTTTGAACCCTGGAGGCTTCCTGCCAACCTAAATGAACTCCATGGGCAACAGCAGCAAGGCAGCTAATCAGACCTGCAAGTGCTTAGCTCTAACTGGGGCTAATTAGATTTTACCACCCTCTGCATCCTTTGGGTCCCTCCTGATGAAAGAAAACCCACAAGCCAGTGCAGTCTGTCCGCTGATTAACACCTTCAGAGAGCCTAAGCTGCCCCAACGCTATCAGAGCAGCCCACCATGACCAGTGCCAGCACAGCAGCCTCTCCATCACCAACCCTCGCTCTACTAACCTTGCTCTGCCCTTTCGTTCACCCAAATCTCTCACCCTGGACAAGCAATTGAACCAAAAGCCCAGGAAGCTCACAGCTTTCTCTTCCTCTGATCCAGATGAAAACCCAAAGGCAAACCTGACCAAAAGGGGGGAGGGAATGAGGAAAGGGTGGACAGATGTCTCCACAGGACGACACAAAAAGACTTAAATCTTCCACTATTCTTGGAAAGCTTCTTACTAAGAGCTTCCCTCAGGCAATCCCAAAGTTCCTTTGCTGTCCTTTTAAATGAGAAAAAGCTATAAATGAATAAAAAATAGGAAAGCCAAGGGATTTCTCTGGAAACCCTCAGCAGAGGACCCTTTCTGCTACAAACAGGAGCTCTCAAAAGCACGAGTGAAGTTAAAAAGTACCAACAACCACATCACACCCTGCTCCCCCTTCAACAAATACTGCTTGTAATGCAGAAATTAGAGTTACTTCCGACTTTGAAATACAAACCCGAGAGTGAACAGGTACAGAAAATATTCTTACAAGCTCCCACCTGCACACAAGGATGCAGATAAGGCCACAAATCTCTCTCCTGGAGCTGCATCAAAGGAGCATTTTCAGAATTTATTTCCCAAGGCTCGCGTGCTAATTTTCTTAGCAAAGAGGGAAATATGCAGCTTTGGGGTTGAGACTTGTGCTCCTCCTAAAACATGCATTTTTCAGGAGGGGTAATCTCACAACCCACATTCAGCTCAGCCCCCAGCACTTCAAGTCAAGACACCAACTCAGTTCCAACGGAAAACAGCAGAAAAACATCCTGACATGTTTATTTCTAAGCTCTGCATAAAGTACTATTTGGAAGAGTGTGTCATGTTCCAAAGGCCCTTTTAACATATTTTATGGGGCTTGGAGCAACCCAGGCTAGTGGGAGGTGTCCCTGCCCACAGCAGAGGGTGGAACCAGAGGAGCTTTAAGGTCTCTTCCCAACCAAACCAGTCTGGGATTATATGGATTTTCTGAATCATTTTATACCTGTTTAAAAAGAATTAAAAAAAACCCATCACAGTTTGATATGGATCCTCTCTGCCTATACATTCTCTTCTGTATACACCCAACAATAACAACTAAGCAATAACAAACGAAATACTGAGAAAACCACTCACACCAGCACCAGGAAAATTTATGGT